TTCCTGTTAATTTCTTCTATCAATTGGCTACTTCTGACTGTTGTCTTCTTGTTAATTTCTTCTATCACTTGGCTACTTCTGTTGTCTTCCTGTTAATTTTTTCTATCACTTGGCTACTTCTGACTGTTGTCTTCCTGTTAATTTCTTCTATCACTTGGCTACTTCTGACTGTTGTCTTCCTGTTAATTTCTTCTATCACTTGGCTACTTCTGACTGTTGTCTTCTTGTTAATTTCTTCTATCACTTGGCTACTTCTGTTGTCTTCCTGTTAATCTCTTCTATCACTTGGCTACTTCTGACTGTTGACTTCTGGGTAATTTCTTCTATCACTTGGCTACTTCTGCTGTCTTCCTGTTAATTTCTTCTATCACTTGGCTACTTCCGACTGTTGTCTTCTTGTTAATTTCTTCTATCACTTGGCTACTTCTGTTGTCTTCCTGTTAATTTCTTCTATCACTTGGATACTTCTGACTGTTGTCTTCCTGTTAATTTCTTCTATTATTTGGCTACTTCTGACTGTTGTCTTTTTGTTAATTTCTTCTATCATTTGGCTACTTCTGACTGTTGTCTTCCTGTGAATTTCTTCTATCATTTGGCTACTTCTGACTGTTGTCTTCCTGTTAATTTCCTCTATCATTTGTCTACTTCTGACTGTTGTCTTCCTGTTAATTTCTTCTATCATTTGTCTACTTCTGACTGTTGTTTTCCTGTTAATTTCTTCTATCACTTGGCTACTTCTGACTGTTGTCTTCATGTTAATTTCTTCTATCACTTGGCTACTTCTGACTGTTGTCTTCTTGTTAATTTCTTCTATCACTTGGCTACTTCTGACTGTTGTCTTCTTGTTAATTTCTTCTATCACTTGGCTACTTCAGTTGTTTTCCTGTTAATTTCTTCTATCACTTGGCTACTTCCGACTGTTGTCTTCTTGTTAATTTCTTCTATCACTTGGCTACTTCTGTTGTCTTCCTGTTAATTTCTTCTATCACTTGGCTACTTCTGACTGTTGTCTTCCTGTTAATTTCTCCTATCACTTGGCTACTTCTGACTGTTGTTTTCTGTTAATTTCTCCTATCACGTGGCCACTTCTGACTGGTGCCTTTCTGTTAATTTCTCCTATTACTTGGCTACTTCTGACTATTGTCTTCCTGTTAATTTCTATTATCACTTGGCTACTTCTGACTGTTGTCTTCTTGTTAATTTCTTCTATCACTTGGCTACTTCTGCTGTCTTCCTGTTAATCTCTACTATCACTTGGCTACTTCTGACTGTTGAGTTCTGGGTAATTTCTTCTATCACTTGGCTACTTCTGTTGTCTTCCTGTTAGTTTCTTCTATCAATTGGCTACTTCCGACTGTTGTCTTCTTGTTAATTTCTTCTATCACTTGGCTACTTCTGACTGTTGTCTTCCTGTTAATTTCTTCTATCACTTGGCTACTTCTGTTGTCTTCCTGTTAATTTCTTCTATCACTTGGCTACTTCTGACTGTTGTCTTTCCTGTTAATTTCTTCTATCACTTGACTATTTCTGACTGGTGCCTTCCTCTTTAATTTCTTCTATCTCTTGGCTACTTCAGACTGGTGCCTTCCTGTTAATTTCTTTTATCACTTGGCTACTTCTGACCATTGCCTTCCTGTTAATGTCTTCTATCACTTGGCTACTTCTGACTGTTGTCTTCTGTTAACTTGACTGTGTTGTCTTCTTTGTTTATTTCTTCTATCACTTGGCTACTTCACTGTTGTCCTTCCTTCTTCTATCACTTGGCTACTCTGACTGTTGACTTCTGTTAATTTCTTCTATCACTTGGCTACTTCTGACTGTTGTCTTCCTGTTAATTTCTTCTATCACTTGGCTATTGACTGTTGTCTTCCTGTTAATTTGGCTACTTTGTGTGTGCTTCCTGTTAAATTTTCTTCTATCACTTGGCTACTTCTGACTGTTGTCTTTCTGTTAATTTCTCCTATCACTTGGCTACTTCTGACTGTTGTCTTCCTGTTAATCACTTGGCTTTCTTCTATCACTTGGCTACTTCTGACTGTTGTCTTTCCTGTTAATTTCTCCTATCACTTGGCTACTTCTGACTGTTGTCTTCCTGTTAATTTCTTCTATCACTTGGCTACTTCTGACTGTTAATTCTTCTATCTCTGGCTATCCTTGGACTGGTGCCTTCCTCTTAATTTTATCACTTGGCTACTTCTGACTGGTGTTGTTAATTTCTTCCTGTTAATTCTTCTATCACTTGGCTACTTCTGACTGTTGTCTTTCTGTTAATTTTCTCCTATCACTTGGCTACTTTGACTGTTGTCTTCCTGTTAATTTCTCCTATCACTTGGCTACTTCTGACTGGTGTCTGTTAATTTCTCCTATTCCTGTTAATTTCTGACTATCACTTGGCTACTTAGCTACTTCTGACTGTTGTCTTCCTGTTAATTTCTTCTATCACTTGGCTACTTCTGACTGTTGTCTTTTTGTTAATTTCTCATATCACTTGGCTACTTCTGACTGTTGTCTTCCTGTTAATTTATTCTATCACTTGGCTACTTCTGTTGTCTTCCTGTTAATTTCTCCTATCACTTGGCTACTTCTGGCTGTTGTCTTCCTGTTAATTTCTTCTATCACTTGGCTACTTCTGACTGTTGACTTCCTGTTAATTTCTTCTATCACTTGGCTACTTCGGTCTGTTGCCTTCCTGGTAATTTCTTCTATCAATTGGCTACTTCTGACTGTTGTCTTCTTGTTAATTTCTTCTATCACTTGGCTACTTCTGTTGTCTTCCTGTTAATTTTTTCTATCACTTGGCTGCTTTTGACTGTTGTCTTCCTGTTAATTTCTTTTATCACTTGGCTACTTCTGACTGGTGCCTTCCTGGTAATTTCTCCTATCACTTGGCTACTTCTGACTGTTGTCTTCCTGTTAATTTCTTTTATCACTTGGCTACTTCTGACTGGTGCCTTCCTGTTATTTCTCCTATCACTTGGCTAATTCTGACTGGTGCCTTCCTCTTTAATTTCTTCTATCACTTTGCTACTTAAGACTGTTGCCTTTCTGTTAATTTCTTCTATCACTTGGCTCCTTCTAACCGGTGCCTTCCTGTTAATTTCTCCTATCACTTGGCTACTTCTGACTGGTGCCTTGCTGTTAATTTCTTCTTTCACTTGGCAACTTCAGCGTGTTGCTTTTCTGTTAATTTCTTCTATCACTTGGCTACTTTAGCGTGTTGCTTTTCTGTTAATTTTTTTTATCACTTGGCTACTTCAGCATGTTGCTTTCCTGTAAGCAGGTAGCGGTAATAAAGGTATATAAAGGTGATATCTTTCCCTATCATACGCAGAAGGTCATAAAGAATATCTTTTTTGTTTTGCCGATCGTTCTTGTGTGGATTCCCAGCTTCCAATGTATGCGAAAACTATAGATCCACTGTCCCTACTAACAAAGATGTGGTAGGAGATGAATAATTATAGGTGTTTCCCCTCCAAGTCAGAGTGCATCTGCCAGATACTTTCTGCTTACATATGAGACAGCAGCAGAAGCAGAAAAATAAAAAGAAGAAGAAGAAGAAGAAGAAGAAGAAGAAGAAGAAGAAGAAGAAGAAGAAGAAGAAGAAGAAGAAGAAGAAGAAGAAGAAGAAGAAGAAGAAGAAGAAGAAGAAGAAGAAGAAAAAGAAGAAGAAGAAGAAGAACAAGAAGAAGAACAAGAAGAAGAAGAAGAAGAAGAAGAAGAAGAAGAAGAAGAAGAAGAAGAAGAAGAAGAAGAGAAGAAGAAGAGAAGAAGAAGAAGAAGAAGAAGAAGAGGAAGAAGAAGAAAAAGAAGAAAGGAGAAGGAGAAGAAGAAGAAGAAGAAGAAGAAGAAGAAGAAGAAGAAGAAGAAGAAGAGAAGAAGAAGAAGAAGAAGAAGAAGAAGAAGAAGAAGAAGAAGAAGAAGAAGAAGAAGAAGAAGAAGAAGAAGAAGAAGAAGAAGAAGAAGAAGAAGAAGAAGAAGAAGAAGAAGAAGAAGAAGAAGAAGAAGAAGAAGAAGAAGAAGAAGAAGAAGAAGAAGAAGAAGAAGAAGAAGAAGAAAGAAGAAGAAGAAGAAGAAGAAGAAGAAGAAGAAGAAGAAGAAGAAGAAGAAGAAGAAGAAGAAGAAGAAGAAGACGCTTTGCCGAAAATGAGACAGTTTGTATTGACGTTGCTAACCCAAATTGTGGTTCCTAGCATTATATGTTTTCTAGCAATTGTAAGGACTGTCAGGTTTCGTTTTCCCAGTAGACGAAGATGGAGAACCGAGAGAAAAATAATAACTGATAGTCTAAAACAGCACCATGGAAGTCTGTCTTCCACTCAAGAGATTTAAAACATGAAGAAACAACATCTGTAGAGAGGAATGAGCGTCTACACCACTTGTAAAGGCACAGTGTGATGATGCTGAGGTCAATAAGTCAACTAAAGGACTTTTTTCCACGCCTTCATTGGCCATATAGGGTTAGACCTACATTTTGAAAGACCAATCGGCACCTAGTGGGTGATGTCGTCAATATCCTGCGGGCCGTCTTTACTTCCTAGGACTATACCTAGTTCCTACTCAACGCTGGGTCGACCTGGGAGCCCAGGCTATTTTTGGGTGATGACCATGGTACACCTTTTTCGGAGACATCAGCTAGAGTATGTAGAAAGTGACTGTACGGTAACCTCCTAGTGGCGGCACAACAGGGAAAAGAGTATAACACAACCGATAACCTCCAGTGAGTTTGAGAAAGAGAGAGAGAGAGAGAGAGAGAGAGAGAGAGAGAGAGAGAGAGATAGAGAAAGAGAGGGAGAGAGGGACAGAGAGAGAGAGAGAGAGAGAGAGAGAGAGATTGTTAGAAAAACTGAGCGAGACTGAGAGAGAAATTAAGAGGAAGAGGAGGGGGGGGATTTGGGGGGGGGGGGGGGAAGGAAGTACATTAGTATTTGTCAGTGTCAAAAGTTCAATTTCTAGAAAAGAAAAAAAAATAAACAATAAACCAATACTTTGTGTGTCCACAGATGACCATGAACGCCTTACTGAAATCCCTGTTGTTGTGTGCCGTCCTAGGCATCACAGCGGCCTACTGGCTCGCAGGTCAGTGATTATTGTTGTCTGTACTCAGTGATTTCTGTTGTTTTGTCTGTCTGTGCTCGTCTATCTGTTCTATGTGTTACATTGTCTCCCATGTCTGCATGTGTTGTATTGTCTTGTCTGTCTGTATGTATTATCCTGTTTGGCTGCATGTGTTGTATTGTCTTGTCTGTCTGTATGTGTTATCCTGTTTGGCTGCATGTGTTGTATTGTCTTGTCTGTCTTTATGTGTTAACCTGTTTGGTGGCATGTGTTATGAGTTATGATGTTTCGCCTGCATCTATGGGTATGATCCACGATAACCTCCCCACGGTACACACTAGTTCGCCTCTGATTTGTCAGCTCCCAGTCTTGGGACCTTCGCACACTGCTAGAGGGGTGCTTCGCAATCCGTTCTTATCACGTGTTGTATATTTAAGCACGCCACGGCTTTTAACACTGCAAACATATTTATCAAACTGGGTGTAACCCATAACCCTCCTAGATAGTGCTGCAACCTATGTCACAGGCTTTTTTTTTTTTGGAAGAAAAACGTAAATGCAAGACAAGCAGGACCCCTTCTGACAGCAGCAGATAAGTCTAAAGAATCTATGACTGAACTGCGACCTAGTGTGTTAGTTATGTTTGTCTATGCGTGTTATGCTGATTTGTCTGTCTATGCTTGTTATTTTGTCTGTCTATGCGTGCTATGTTGTTACAGCTGTCTATTCGTGCTGTTATTTTGTCTCTCTATACGTCTTATTTTGTCTATGCGTGTTATGTTGTTTTGTCTGATGTGAATGTTGTGTTTTTATATTTGTCTATGCGTGTTATACTAGTTTGTCTGTCTTCGAGTGTTATGTTGTTTCGTCTGTCTATGCGTGTTATGATATTTTGTCTCTCTATACGTGTTATATTTTCTGTGCGTGTGTCACATACTGCTGGTGTCATGTGCCTTGGTGGGGGTTTCCCCTGATAAACCAAATAGCACTCTGAAGTAGTTATAAAAAGTTGAGATGTTGGCTCGCATGGTCTAGGCGAAATTCCGCAGCTGCAATAAACATTAAACCTGAGGGTGAGGCGACGCCAATTTTAACACTACAAAACATAAAATATTCCTAGGCGCAACTTGGCCTGACTTCCCACTGCATCATTTAAGCCCCCCAGACTAGATAGTAGTCTCCTATCATAGTCAACATTAGAAACACAGTTAAATTTGCCATATAGTGATATTACACACACTCCAGACAACTAGGAACAGGGAAAAATGGACACTAAACCATGATTGGAAAATGTGCAAAAAAATTATGTACTAAGTTTAACCAATACAAGGATAAGGCAAAAGAATTTAATAAAATCAATGACACCAGGAGACAAAGACAATTTATATATGACTAGAACAAGGGTTGCTTCCTGTAGCAGCCAAGGTCATCATAGTTATGCAGTAGAACTATAGCACAGTGGACAAGGCACTTCAGTGTAAGAGTGACCACAGCGTCTGGAATATAACTCATCTGTTTTCAAGTCCGGTCCACTGTAACACATCACTTCTGCATCTGGGATGGTTGGCACCAGGGGGCTGTTCAGTTTCTCTACACATGAACTGCTACACTAATGCTTATACTATAGCACAGCATTGTCTCAGGTACAATTTGAATATAGGGTCGCAAATACTATAGACCAAAAAAGGCAGGCAACCTCTGGCTTCACCATGCAGCTCCCTGGGGATCGATCTCTCCGAATGATACTGTTAGTGACTACCTAGACGTAGGACCAGACATGTCGGGAGGCCCCATGGTAGTATCTTATGGCAGCAGGTGGTAAGGAATCCTGGTGATGTGGATGGATGATGATTGTCGATCTGGTCTCCAAGGAGATGACAATCCTGTGACAGATAGGAAAACTAGAATTAGCAATCATCTCAAACTCCGCATGCCTATGTCCTGCTCTACCTATATTCACACAAACATAGCTCAGAGGTCTGCTTTAAGGATCTGAGATTCTGTACAACGGCAGAGAGGATAGGAAACACAGTTTTAACCAGGAGATAGATAGAGGTCTCTCTGAAAGAGGACATTATCACTCCCCTTTCAAACCCTTATATCCATACTCACACAATATACATACATACAAGAATATGAAAATATATATATGCCTAAAAAGGGTGTACAACAATATACAGGCCTGCTCCGGCCCATGTTTACGCTGATTCGATAATGACCCTGTGTTGTCAGATCGCCATTCTCCTGACCCGATCGATGCTTTTGTCGTGACCTGGATAATCCTCTGCTAACCTACAAGAGTAGCATATATTTTACAAATGCGATAAGTTGTTTAATTGGTTGTCTGTTGGTTAAGTCTCTGACCCATGTGCTCTCTGGACCTATGCTAGGTTTCCCATAGGATAATAATCTTGGCTTTTAAACAGGATGCAGTCTGGGCGATTCCCTGTAATATAATTGCAACGACGCCAAGGTTTTGTAACGTCCATAACCAAGTCTAACCTGCATTTAGCAGCGGTATTCACATACATAGTACTCGCAAACTATAATAGACTTACCCAAGCTCTGTATTCTTCTAGGAAACTTTAATGTTTCTTCAATTTGGACAGAAATAAGCACAGACGCAAGCGTCCTTCCATGATGGAGACTTGATTGAGAATATTTCTGACACGTTTCTTTCGAAGAAGGCCGAGAAGATTCATCCGCCCCAGGCGGTGATATGCCCATAGGACTTTGCCAATAATTACCAATGAATCTCTCACCTACGATTATAGATTCAAAACTATAACCTTCCCAGAAGAATTAGGACATATAGGAGTACTTAACCCAAAGACCTATATTTATAAAAGATGGACTATATACCCATAGAGGCAGGTCTATTTTTAATCTTAGCATTATCTGCATAGAGGTGGCAGGATCTAGACGAGTCTAAGACGAAGGGTTGGCTTGATCTGTTACGTGACAGCGTGTTATGTTTTTGTCTGTCTGTAAATGTTGTGTTGTGTCTCTGTAAGTGTTATGCTGTTTTGTCCGTCTGTGCATGTGTTGTCCTGTGTGTCTATGGACGTTGGGGTCTCGACAGCATATGTACTCACTGTCTTCCTGTTGCATGCAGTTAAAGTTGGGCATGCATGGCTCTAATTCCACACAGTTGTTGCCAGAGATCAGGGTTTACTTTCTGTATGTAGGTTTCATAAATCCAACCAATCCGTGTCTTTCTGTTAAATTTGGGCACTGAACATTGCAGCTGGCTTTCCACACGTAGACAGCGAAAAGTCTTGGTCAATGTAAAATATTACAGCAATAAAGTTGATACTGCAGACTTCAAGGACTAGCATATAATTGCTATCTTCATCATCGTCATTATCACACCACATTACCACCACCACCCACCTCCTCATCGTCATCCTCATCACCAACAACCACCACCCCCTCCTCATTCTCCTCCTCATCATCATCGTCGTCGTCACCACCAGGATCACCATCATCACCCAACCCTCCCCTTTTCCTCCTTATCCTCCTTATCCCAACAGTCATCAACATCAACATGGTGATCCTCTTGTTAGTATTATTAGGTCACATAGTTCTATGTCTACACTGAGTTCTATCCTGTGCAATCTTTTCTATGCCATGCACGACATCTAGTCCAGCACCTTTGGCCACTCTCCTCGACTTTCTATTTGGAGTTTCTCTTGGAAGTTGTTTCCTCGGTCCTTGTGTTTCCCGTTTCAGCACTTGTTGTAGAGATTCTCTGCTGGTTTTTCCTAGGGATGAGAATAGATACCATCTATTCATCTTAGCTGTCTGATAACAGTTGATAGCGGTGACTGAACAAGTATTTCTCTAGTATTAAAATTATATAATTTAGAGTTTCATATTTTGTGTTCAGGCTTACAAAAAAAAAAAAAAAAAAATATTGTTTAATTATTCAGGTCTTCAGAATCGGGATACAATCCGGTTCTTGAACATGAACGGTTCCATATTTCCGGAAGCCATGGGCAGCTTCCTGAACGGAGACGTGAAATTGTTCCCCTTGATTAAAAGTTTAATGAGAAGCCTGTGTTTGGTGAGCACCTTAACCTCCTACCCAGAAGGCAAATGGCTCAGTGCTAACTCAAGTTACATAACAGAAACAAAATTGAATACATCGATACATTATTATATAATACAAACTTTAAAACAGAGATACTTACATATATATGTAAACTACGGGACGCTTTCCACGTCTTTAGGCGTATAGGGCATATAGGGCTAGACCTATATTTTATAGACCAATCGGCAAAATATGGTTGATGTGGTCAGCATTACGCCGGCCGCCTCTACTTCCCGGGACTGCACCCGGAACCCACTCAAGGCTGGGTCGACCCATGTGCAATATTAAATAAGAAAACTGCCTTATACGGTATGTGAAGGGACATTTGTAATGTTTGTACTGGAAGCAGTAGTAGCAGCAGCAGCAATAGTAATATTAGTAGTAGTATTAGTAGTAGTAGTGGTAGTTGAAGCAGCAGCAGGAACAGCATGAGAACAGCAGGCTACAAGGCAAGAGGGAGACCAAGAAAGCAATGGGTGGAGGGAGTAAAAGAGACACCACAAAAATGCAGTATGACATTAACACAAGCTAGGCCACTAGCATCAGACAGGAAACTACACATAACTGTACTTTTTGTATAAATTGTTACTTCTACTGACGATTGGTAGACCCCTGCTGTACATGTTCCCCTGTGGAGTTTCTTCTTACGACGCTTGGCGACATAGGCAGTAGGACTAAAAAAAAAGTAGTAGCAGCGTCAGTTGTAGTAGTAGAAGTAGTAGAAATGTATTAGTAGTCGAAAAGTTCGCTGTAATAGTGACGGGCAAACTGGAATCAAAGTCGGAAATGAAGAGTATTACCTATATAAAAACACATTCATAAGTGTCAGACTAAACTATACGGATACATAGCCTTCAAACAAAATACATTAACATGCTGTAACTGACAATACAATAATGATGACAACAACAACAAATACAATGCTACAA